GAAAATTACCAGCATTTTTGTGCATACAGAAGAAGACTACCTTAAGATACCATGAATATATGCCAAACAATGGTTTGCAACTTTATGACTGATGAAAAGTAAACATATTTGGAATATTTTTTCTTTATCCTTTCATATTCATCATATTCTTTCATTATACCTGCTGGGTTGTAAGTTTTTTCTAAGTATTTTCTTCTCCAAAATTAAAGATTTTTGTCATTCCATTTAAATAATAAGGTTTATTTTTTATAAAGTCAAATTTATCAGTTAAGATTGTTGCCCTGTTCGGCTACAAAGGAGTGGTGTTATTTCTCTATGTGCACTTTATGGAAACAGTTACCAAAATACTTCCTTTGTTTTTCTTCATTCCTGACTTTTTTATTAGATTGTTTTGTTTTAAAAATAAATGGAAAAACTTTGGAAAGGTTCTAAAATTTTGAGAAAAAAAGACCTTTTTAGAAAGCCTTGCCCTGCAAGAAATTATTTATTTATTTTGTTTCAGAGAAGGGCAAGTTTTAAACCGACCTCCAACCTCTTATATGGAGGTGTCATTTCAGATGGTACAGATTTTCTTGTTCAGCAGAAAATGGTACAGTGAGATGGCATAAACTGGGAATTGAAGTTAAAAAATTTATCACAGGTGAAGTAGTCGACAACTGCAACAAGCTGATCTAAAGGCTTKTGAGTTTTCCAGTTTTTAACATCTCAATTTGATTCTAAATTCCTGCTCTGGCTGAATGAGAAACTTGCTGCAGGGATTATCAGTAATGCGCTATGGCTTATGTTAAGAAGGGACTCAAATTAGCTGGAACATAACTGCTCCTTCTGTTCTTAAAATCTGTGAATCATCCAAAAACTTTTCTACCAAACCCACAGAAGATAAGAGTGAAGACTGCAAATATTTCTGAAGGGGGGAAAAAAAAGAAGCAAATAATCCGTCTAAAAAAACCCACCTATTTATGTGAGGATTTCAGCACTAACTTGAAAATATAAAGTGCAGCTAAACTGACAGGTCACTTGTAGACAGAAAAAAACTGCTAAAAACCTGTAATGCCAGTAGCATTTCYGGCACATCCCCCTGAAGTGTTGTTTCTGTCATGTCAGGTGTCAACCTCTGTCCTGCCTTTTCACCCCTCAACCTAATTTCTCACCCTCACACTTATTTTATCACTTCCTTTATCACTCTGTTCTTTGGGGTTTGTTTTTTACTTTTGACGTTCTGGGGCCCAGCTACAAGAGGCAATTCTCCCTGGTGATTGCATGTCTTTCCCTTGTGCACACAGCACGGGCAGTCAGGGGGGAGTGGAGTCAACAGGGAAAGACACAAACCCCTCAGGGCATGGAGCAACCTAAGCCCCGACTGCTACCACCACCCACACAGCCAAATTATTGAGCACAGTGCCTTCTTCAGGAGCATTCCTGTGCAGCCTTTGCTGTACTCGAGCAGTTGTTGCATTTTATGAGTGAAACTGTGAAAACAACATCTAGGAATGTCATCGGCAAAGTGGGCAACCAAGGGAAGCGTGAGCTTGATACCAACACGAGAAAAGCTCCGGCAGAAATGTGCAAAATGTGAAACTTAAAAGATTTTTTCTGAGATATAGCAGGCCCTAATGCTCATTGTAAAAGTAAGGAGTCAGGATAAGTCATTGCAAAAATTTGGCTTGCTGACAGACCTGAGTGTGTTGGCATAACTCCCCTTAGTGACTTCAGCATGCTTGAGGAGTGAGGGAGAGCAGGAGCAAGCTGCAGATATGTCTGTCATTTGTTTTGTGTGCAGAGGGTTTTCCCAGTTGGTTATGCTCAGCTGCAGCTATGCACCCCAGCCCATTTGGTTGCCCACAGCTGCAGGTTTATTCTTAGTTTCAGGAATGCAAATCCTGGAGGACATGTAATGGCTTCATGTCAGCAAGGAGACAGGTTTTCATCTCAAAATATTTCTCTCTGTGGACGGGTCAGTTTCCGGATGAGGTGGATAAGAGAAGTTTAGTAACATCTGATTTCTGAACCACGTGAGACACATGTGGTATCAGAAAGACTTGCCCGGATGAGGCTGCTCTTGCTTGTTCTGTAACCACATGCAGTGCAATGTTTCATTAAGAAACTCCACTCTAGGCATGGGACTGAAGCATAAGACACAGCCAAGCTCCTTCTGCTCTGCAACCTTGTGAAGAGAAGTGAGAGGACAAACACTGCAGGCTGGGCTGACTGGGTGGGTGCCGTACCCAGAGCTGGCASAGCGCTGAATCCCAGCCCATGGGCCACAGCAATGGCCAGTGCTCATCATGGGCACACAGGGGTAAGTCAAGAAGTCAAGGTGATGGGCAGGGTGGCTTTACAAGCCTTAATCTTTGCAAGATCAGGCCTCTCCATAGTCTCCTCTGYTTGCCAGAGCAGGTGTTGGCTCCTCAGCTAAGCCAAGGCCATCAGAATAAACTCTGGCAAACACAAGGACAAAAGATCCCCCATTTCCCCATCAGCTAGGAGGGCAAAGCATGTTTCTTTGACACATTTACCCCAGATAATACAGGAAAATGTTCATCCATAYTCTAGAAAACTTCTTCCTGCCATTCTGGTGCACAGACATCTTCTCTGAGAACAACATGCACTTAAAATTATCCTGCTGTTCCCTGGGAAAGAGTTCAGGTCTTAATATAATAAATGTTCAAGAACATAATTCAGGCAAGAACACCAAGGTTTCTATTTCTTTCAAAAGTTGATGGATTATAGTTTGCCCACTTAGCCTTTAATATTTATTACAATGATTCTGAATATCCTGAGTGGTGCTGAACATCCTATCCAATCTCCTTCCTTTGGACATATGTCTCCTAAATATGTGAAAAACTTTTATCCTTTCCACCTACTAAGCCCTGCTTAGTCAAGCAATTCAGCTAACTCATTACTAAGAATTCTCCTCTATTTTTAACCTTCCATAATCTTAGGATTTCTTTAATCATTACAAGCTCCACTTCATGCCCTATGACAACATCTCATTAATATGACCTTCCTGCTCAGATCTTTATGTAGTACAACCAACCACTGTTCAGCTGAAGCCAATGAAGGGACACTGATTTATGAGATCTGTCTCTTCATCACCTTAAGTTCTGTTAATTGACCCTTCAGTAAAAAATGAGAATAGGAAAGGGAAAAAAATGACATGGGAAAAAGACAAAATACATTATGAAAATGAACTAGTTTTCTACCTTGCTCAACACAAGTACTTTGCTCTAAAGACAGTCCCTGGGGAAATCTGGATATGTCAATAGTGTTCAACCAGTTTTTAAATGAGCTGTAATATATGATAAATTTCTGTAGCAAGCAASCAAATTTGCACCAATTAATGACGCTATAAAAAAGAACCTATTGCTTTTGAGAACATACACTTCTTTTTTGGTTAAGTGCCAAAATTTGGCTGACTTTTGTTATGTTAGAGGAAACAGTCAATCATGCCAGGTATTTTTGCTGAAAACATGATCCTTTTAGTTATGCAAGGCCACTGTAACTTCAAACAGCAGCAGAGCTCCACATAAGCTCTCTGCTCTGTGGTCTTTGAAGAGCTGAAGCATCCTCTGTCAGAAGACAACAGACAACTCAKTCGCCCATGAATCTGACATTGTGCAATATTGTTAGTAGACTTTTTGCCAAGAATGCTAGCAATAAATTGAATGTAATGAAATGGAAAGTCAAACATCTTTGTAATGATTTATACAGAGATAAGTCTGTTCTTTGAGGAAGGACAATGAACTGTTTCTCAGACCAGTCTGACAGTGTCCATATCAAAAATGAAAAAGTCTAAGCCAAGTAAAGCATTGTACTGCCAGGGTTCCAAAGGATAAGGACAAAAGTAATAATTCATGGAAGTCCTGTTGAAACAAGTAGCCCAATCCATCCACATAAGGTGCCTTCCACTGTTTGATATAATGTACTTCCACAGTAGTGGCAATGGAAAATGCAAGGAAAAAAATTAGGGGGATAAAACTGCGTTTCCTTGGAGTCAAAACAAAACTTCCCCATTTTCAGAATCAGGATTTCATCTTTGAGTGCTTTTATTTTCAAGCATTCACAGAGAGGAGGTGACTGGCTTTCAAGTCACCTTGAGGTGACAAGAGGCTAGTACTCAGCCTCTCTAATTGTCTGTTCTTTAAAAAACTATAATATTTTAAGAGATTTAACACCTAGCTCCACTGAATACTCACCTATTTCAGAAACCTCCTTACAATAATAATTAAAATAAATAACTCTGCTTGTTTCCATCATCACTGGGGAACTGGCTTAATACATTCTTTCTTCCTTTTCCTCCCTCTATCTACCCTGTACTAGCATTTTTTCATTTYTTATTCTGGGCAGGGTTAATGTGAGGACTATTKCTTCTTTCTTYCCCTACACTGCCTYTGTTCAAGACTCAGKTGAAAGTGACTGTTTCTTCTAGTCCATATAATTGCAAAGAGCTTTTATTGTTTCACTCAGGTGAAACTTGGAAAAAGAAGAGGCATTGTCCAAGACATTCAATATATTCAAAAACTTGAACACACAACACTACTCTTTTTATCCCTTTAGGGATACAGGCAAACATATATCCCTAAAAAAGACAGAAAAAAAATGTTTCTAGTGTTGCCAGGCTTTCAGAGGAAAGCCTGTTAAAATTCAAGGGAATCTATCACCATAAATGATGGAATCCCACAAGACAAGAGTGGGGATTAGCCTGACGATTACCTATGTCAACAGCGAAACAAAGCTCCATCCGACAATGATCCAGGCAGCTTAACATCTGTGCTCCACCACCACCGCCTCCCTGCTGACAGCTGGGCGTGTGTGCAAAGCCTGTCTGCTTCTCCCTGACAGCACTCAAAAGCCTGCAGGGATGGGTGCAAGTGTGGCTCCCTGACAGCTCTGCCTGAGGACTTCACACCAAAAGCATGAACAGTGCTAGAAATGCTTCACTCGCCCTCGCTGCAAATAGGTAAAGGTTTTATTTCTCCCAAGAAGACAATCTTACTTACTTGGGATAGCGTCTCTGCTGAAAGATGGGCAGAATCTCTGTATCTTGATTTGAATGCAGAAGCAGTAAATCCCGAAATCTTTCTGTCAGGACAAAGAAAAAAAAAAAAAAAAAAAAAAAAAAAAAGAAAAGAAAAAGAAGAAAAAAAAACAAACCCAGACTGTGACTCTGCATTATAAGTTCAGGCCACAAGTAAGCAAGCAGCAATATCAGTGAATTCTCTTCTCCAGCAATATTTAGCAGAGGACAAAACTAAGWATAAACACTAAATCTCTGTTTCCTGTAAAACCTTTTAATATTTTAAACAGTCTTTATTTTCATCCAATACTGAACTCTAGTCGTGCCTTTAAGTTTCTGAGGTTTGCACAGAGGTCTTCTGGGTATCATGCACAGACAGCCATAAACGGTCGCTGCCTTGAAGAGCTTAGCCTAAACAGAAAGAAGGAACCCCAAAGAATTCACCAGCCACTCAAGGATTACAATAGTWGACACAGATTAATTAATTCATCTGCATTACACTGCAGGAAAAATTCTTTGGTAACTGATTCACTGGTATTTTCAAGGATAGACTTGGAAGACTGCTTTTACTTTGCTACTACATTTAAAAAACTCCAGGATAAGATTATCTGCAGGAGGTAAAGCTTTTGTATTTCACTGACCACCAAATTAAGGGGTGGTTGTGGTTTATGCAGCTGCCTCTCCCTGATGCCTTTTTCTAGAGGTGGTTAGACACAATAAATCAAGTTGGATGTGTAGCAGTTTCTATCAGTACTGATTTTCCAGTYGTGAAAGATGGAAGCCTCTTCAAAATTCACCTCATATCCAGATTTAGGGATAGCATAGGATTCTCACCCAGATGAAATCCCTTTAGTATGTCCCATAGCTCTCCATAGCATGGGATATGCTCTGTTTCYTTCTTTCCTTCCAACAACTGCAACTTTAATCTGTCCTGCAGTGGCACAGAATGGTTGCCCTTTCCATCTCCTGCCCTTYCTTCAACACCTTACAACTACAGCTGGAAGTCTTCAGCTGCAYGTGTTACCCTTCCTTTGCTAAACGACATTTTATAGCCTACATTGTATGTACCAGCTGTACCACAGATTTCACTAAACCAACTCACTTCCATGAATTTTTTTCATTCTGGGAACTGAACCTGAGGGTAAGTGTAGKCCTCCTCCTCTTAGATTCATACGTATTTTAAAATATCTCTCTCTAACACCAAGTTAATGGATTAGGAAATTGCGGGACAGAAAAACATTTGGGTTTATGTAATGTTATGTCACCATAACTAAACTCCATTAATTTGGATACAATTCTGCTAAAGTGGGAAAAAACCCACCCAAAACTATACTTCATAAAGCTGCAGTACCTTGAAGAAAGCACAATAAATTCAGAGAGAAAACTCTCTTGTTAAGGGCTCAGTTTTAAAGGTCAATTGTCTCACACCTCTAGTCTTTCCTCAGCTGGCTAAGATGTACTGCAAACATCTTGGATAAGATACATGATCTGCCAGTGAAGAAACAAGGGCTTATCTTTGTTCCTTTACTTCTACACCTCTTCAGATTCAATTCTGAAAGAACTAAGCACTCCCAACTCCAAAATTCTTACCACATCTTTAAAATGTAACTTAGCCTTCCTGTACCTAACTAAAACAAAGACCAGATGTGGCCAACAAAAATAAATGCAATAAATGCAATAAATGTAATGTTGTAAAGATGAAAGTTAAATCCAATTAGTGCATTTCAGGAAACAGCCTGCTCACTGTCTTGARGAAAAGCTTTCCATTCAGCTACTTCAAGCTTTAGGAAGATGAAGAAATTTGCTTTTCTTTCAGTCTTCTGGTACATGGCAATAAGCTGTACACACACACACCCTATCATCCTTAAAGATGACACACTATCATCTTCAAAAGCCACTGGACAGGAACTGAAAGGCTTCAGAAAGCTTTTACTGATGCAAAATAACACTTTATGTTTCAGAACCAGCACGTGAACTTCCACCTCTACCTCAGTATCCTCCCCACRCAGCTGTTGCATTTCCAGGCATCTTTTACAAAAGCCTTTATTCCAACAACAGCCTTTGTGTGTGCCTGGTGCAGGAAAGCGAGGAAGTTTACAACGGCAAACACTGAGTGACARCGCTTCTTTCCATGACTTGAGGATTTTGATCTCCAGAGCATGGTGTGAGACATCCTGATTAAGGATCTGTCTACACTCTGATTAGGATATGTCTGTGGTGGCACGGCTGATTTACTTTTGAGGGCCTGTAACCAGGTGTGACAGTGATGTAATGCATGGGGAGATGAGCTCTTAGTTCAGTGCTGCACAACAATTACAGGTCGGTGAGTGAAGCTGGTTTCTCAGACCTTGCTGAGGGCCTGTGACTCTGGGAGAGACAAAACACATCTCAGTGCAGATATATCCTGCCCTATTGCTCTGTCTGACATGGCTGTCACCCAGGAAGAGAGCCATATTCCATCTCTAGCCCCTAYTCTGCCTTCTTCTTGTGCTGCTGCCCTTTCACATTGATCAAGCCACCTGGCTGCACTCCAGGACTCAGTTCAGCAAGCAGTGATCTTGAAAATATTTTGAATACTAATACAACAGAGCTGGCCAGTACTGGGGCAAAAGCAGCCAAGTTATGGCATCTGAAATTGGCTGAACAGTTTTCCTACTAGATCTTGTTTTAAAGTCAGCTTTTTTTTTCCCCCACGCTATGGCAAATTTCCCAGGCAGATGTATTTTCTTTTCACCATGCGACTTTACTCGTTTTTCCATGTGGCGTGGTTTAATCTCAGCCAGCAACCAAGCCYCACACAGCTACACGTTCACTCCCCCCACAGCARGATGGGGGAGAGAATCAGAGGAGTTAAAGCAAGAAAACTCATGGGTGGAGGCAAAGGCAGTTTATTAGGATAGACAAGGGAAGAAATTATAATCACAGCAGTAATAATAAAAATAATTAGAATAAAATAATTAGAATATACAAAACAAGTGATGCACAGTGCAGTCGRCTCACACCTGCCAACCAATGCCCAGAAAGTCCCTGAGCAGCGGCTCCTGGCCAGCTTTCCTCACAGTTTATGTACTGAACAYGATGCCATATGGTGTAGAATATCYCAAAGGYCAGCTGGGGTCAGCTGTCCTGGCTGTGTCCCCTCCCAATGCCTTATGYCTCCCAGCCTTCWCGYTGGYAGGGCATGTAAAGATGGAAAGTCCTTGTCTTGGTATAAAGACTACTTGGCAACAACTAAAACATCCRTGTGTTATCAACATTAYTCTCAACTTAAATCCAAAACACACATCGCTGTACAAACTATTAGTAAGAGAACTGACTCTATTCCAGATGAGCCCAGGACACCACAGAAACACTCACACTTTATGGTGGCATTCCACCTCATCTCAAATCTATCCTGCAACTTTCCCCAGCACATTTAACTTCCATGTCCTGTAAATCCTCTCAATGGAAATGACACGCAGGACAGAAGCCTTTAGGACTAATTGTGCCATGGGACCATTGTGTACATGCCACTCCTCAGATCTGTGACATTGTACTATTACACATGTGTGTGCACAGCACCAAAGTCACTCTAGTACAAGTGACAATACTGTCTTTATACACTATCATCCAGGTGATGAGGGAGGTGACAACAGACTTGGCAGCTACTGACAGCACAGACACTTTTGGTGGAGAAAGCGCTCCAATTTGCAAGAAAAAAGTCACAGTGATACCTTCCCAAAGCAGGGAGAATTTTTTTTTTTCAGAAACCTAAGATCTTCTTCTAATTTGTGCTACAACAACTAATGAAAGATTTAGAATTAATGAAATCAATAATTAGAGCATTTTSTCATTATTTTGATTTGCAATCACTAGTTGATCAACAGAACTAAACAAAGTCAAAATCTTTTCATTACTTGGATAAATTTAGAGAGWTATCTTCCAAAATGGAGTAATTTTTGATGGGATTTTTATGGCTACGTGTTGATCTGATTCATTAAAATAAAAAAGAATAACATTTACTTCCCCAAAGTTGCTTGTTTCTGAAAACTGGCAATTATCTTCTCTGTTCCTCACTCTATTCATGCCATTTGCATGACTTCAAGTCTGTTCTATMCAGTCTCCTAGGGACTGTTCCCATTGTTCTGAGATCAGTTGTACCACTGCTGCCTTTGTCCTAGAGGACAAAATTCTCAGACACATTCTCAGTCTCATCTTATGCTCAAACTCAGGTTTTCAATATGATGAGTGCCTCAACTCATTTTGAGTGYACAATTCCTTTCAAATCCTTTATCAGTGGAAGTCCTCAGTTCAATTTAGGCGGCCTCATTGAGACCATAGATGTTTAGCTAAACTTTTAACTAACTAAACATAGTTAGTTACTCGTGATGATTGGGGGCTGGTTGTAATAACACAGTCTTAGGCCCTGTCCTCCTAAATCAGGAAAGTTGCAGACTATAAAGAAGAGAAAGTTTGCCATTATAATCTTCATGGATTTAACCTGTCCTATATATGTACGCCTTTCTTCCCTGTCTTTTATCTAATTATTATTCTTTCTATTCTATCTTTTGCTCCTTCTCCCCCTCCCAGCATAACATATTCGCAAGTCAGCTACTGGAAACTCAGTTTTAAATGCCCTTACCATCTTATGATAATGCCTGTTACGGAAAGTCAGCTAATCTGCAAGGACAGAAGGATGCAATTCGAGAGAAATATTCCCTTTAAAATATTTAGATTAATGCTATATTTGTACTCAAACAGAATGGGGTTGTGCACGGTATGGCAAGTTGACAGTAATGTCAGAAAAATGTGAGCAAGAATGGGCATACAGTCTGAAGGTCACTCAAACTGGTTACACAGCCCYGTTTCCTTCCTCCAGAATACACTATTACAGAAGTGGAAAGAGAGACAAAGGAAATTTTTGCATTATTCTAATATCTGGGGCTTCTCAAAGCAAAGAAAAATAATTTGTATAGAAGGTCCCTGGGAGTTAAAACACATTATTATTCACATTTTGTAGACAGAAACACACTGTGGCACAAAGAGCACTGGCCTTGTYTTTTAAAGCTGTCAGGTCCCTGAAGCT